CCACCAGAGCTCCCCCGAAATAGTTGACTTTTAATATGTTCAATGTCAGAGTCCTTGGGGAGCTTTCCCCCCCTGAAATTAAGAAGATGTATGCCTTTGTACTTCTGTAATAAGAAACTTTTTTAGTTATTTGAATCTTAAATTGTTAGAGGCCCAGATTAAGTGAACAAACAAAACAATTGAGTGAAAGAGCTCGCCTTAGCTTTTAAGTGAAAGATTTCAATATGTACTGAGCACTCACTTTACATCAAATACTATATCAAACAATGTGGAGACTTGCATCTTAGGGAACTTAGAATCTGGAGGAGGGGTGGACCGTGGATCAGAGCAGATGGAACGTGCAGGAGCTGGCTGGAGAGAGCCTTTCGCTTAGCATTCAGGAAGCTTTCAAGCCATTTACCATCACAGTCAAAGCTTTTAAGTGACCATCCTGGGAGTTTTTACACCATGGAAAGTAGATTTCCTCTCCTACTGCAATAGCATGAGAATCTAGCGATGCAACAGCTCTAACCACTCAGAGCTCATAAGCACAAATCATAACCACATAATAATCATAACCATAATAACCATGATGGTTCTCTATCCCACTGTTGTCGTAGGGGGTGACTCAGCTGACCTTCAGTGCTTTTTCAGAGGCTGTAAACTGGATAGGAGAAGATCGCTCATCTTTCTGCCTCTGAGAAGCTGGTGGATTTGAACCACGTGTCTTTGGATTGGAAGTATAACTCCTTATCCCCAGGCCTTCAGAGTTTATCTATCCCAGACTATGCGCTTCTTTTTTTTTTATTATTCTTTATAAAAAAATTATTATTAATTTCAATGAAAATTTACAGAGACTTTGGATTTCCATTCATTCATTGTTGCACTTTTCTCCCCTACCAACCATCTCCCCCAGTACACTACCCTCTTGGAAAAGTAAAAGAAAAATTCTTTCATTGTTTTACAATCACTCCCCGCAGGGTCCACTCCACTATGCAGCCTTTGCTCTCGACTCCTGTTATGACAAAAATACCTAATCACATATCCCTTTTAAACAGTTTTCTCCCTCATCTGTTTTAATGCAGTATACATTATTTATCCCATTTTTCTCAGTCTCCTCCAACCCCAATGTTAGCAATTCTTGATGGACAGTTTTAGCAATTCATTAGTGATATTTTTGCTTTTAATTCGTTTTCTCATTAAACATGTGAAAAACTCAGCTTTTCCTGTTTGCTAACATATAAATGGGAAGCTCTGGTGCCTCGTTGTTAAGTGCTTTGGAGTTGAGTCCAGAGAACGACAGATCTGCACCCTGGCCTCCCCTGTGCCATCCTCACATCCCTGACCCACTTGAGCCCATTGCCGCAGTCACTGTGCCAGTCCATCTCGCTGAGGACTTCCTCTCCTTCACTGACCCGGTTAGGGGGCCCTTCCCTGGGGCAGGGCCAGCAGTTCCCGGAGCAGCTTCCACGAAACATCTCTTGGAATCACTGTTGAGCGCCTCATTTCTACCCCCGGTCCCCTGGACCAGAACCTAGGTTTTTTTGTTTTTTAAATTTTGTGTAACTGCTATAAACGTTTTATTAAAGTTATTTACATTTAATGGTTGTATTTCAGAACCTAGGTTTTAATAAGATCGGTTATCCATAAGGATCACCCGAAGTGCTGTGAAGTTCACTTAGAATCTTGTTAAAATGCAGATTTTTTTATTCCGAGTATCTGGATCAGCCATTGCTGTGGAGTGGAAATTGGCTCCTTCCCACGGGAGGAGAACACTCACCTTCCTCCTGCAGGGCAGCTGGTGTGTTGGAACTGCCAGAGCGTCATGTGGTCTCTGCTATCGCAGTCCATGCTGGTGGGAGGGCCGATTATCAGCACTGAGTAGATCCCCAACGAATGGCCTCTAAGCCCTGCTTTGGGCTTACTGCCCAGTCCTTGGAAGAGCCTTGATGAGATGGATTGATTCAGTCACTCGGGTAATGGGGATAGGTGTGCCGGAGACAATAAGATTGGCAATGGATAGAGCAGAGTTAGGGCTCTTGTACATAGGGTCATATGAATTGCAGGTGACTCGACGGCACATAACAACAACAATAACAACCACCACCTTGGTCTGCAGCGGCCTCCTCACTTTCTGCTATTAACAGCCATGGACGTGCAGGACCATTTACTGGCCCTTGAAAAGCTAGGGGTGGTAAAAACTTTGTAAGCATGGAAAAGCACAGAGAGCTATATATAAAAAAAACAAAAACAGAATAAAAACCCAAAACAATGTGCAGCATTGAACAAATGAGAGGTCAAATGCGAATCTTATCTTTCCTACAATAGTGTAAATGTTGTTGTTGTTCTGTGCCGTGGAGTCGTTTGTGACTCATAGCGACCCTATATACAACAGCCCCTAAACCCTACTCTATCCTGTGCCAATCACGTTGCCTCTGACACACCCATCCCGATTACCCCAGTCACTGAATTAATCCACCTCATAGAGGGTCTTGTAAACAGCATAAGAAAAACTGTTGAAATACAATGAACAAAGTACCTGAACCACACACGCTGCTGGATTCAGGGTTGGACATTTTTGTGCATGTCCTGTGCACATAGTGAGAACCCGTCTTGTTTAATAGTGGACTCCTTTTGTGTGAAATCGAGACAGTCTTTAACTTTATGTTCTGGAACTGTTTGTTCTTAACTAACTGATAGATGCTACGTGGTCTGCCCTGGAAGACTCACCCTCGACCATCTTTGCTTTGGGTCTTATAGAAGGGAGATGGGATGATTGACAAGGCTGAGCTCCAAGAAGCGTGTGACCAGGCTAACCTGCACTTGGACGGACCGCTCCTGGACGAGCTGTTAGACTACTGCGATGTGGATAAAGACGGCCTGATCAGCTGCCTGGAATTTGCGAATTTCCTCACCTGGAAAGACAAGATGCCTCTGAAAGAGGATGAAGAAAGGGCCATTGTCAAAGGTATGTACGTTTTGGAAGAAGTTTGATGAATTCCTTTTTATTAATTTTAAGGAGAATTTAAATGTTTACTTATCTTGTTGCAGTCTTCATTGGATTATCATACTGTTATTTTTGTTTGTTTTTAAATTTTTATTTTCTTTTATTATTTTGTGTGTGTGTGTACCGTCAAATCAGATCTGACTGATACAGCAGGAGATTGCTCCTCTTTCTCCAGCAGAGCATCTGGTGGATTTGAACTGCATACTATTGGGATTGCAGTGCAGCTTCTTGCCACTAGGCCATCAGAGCTTGCCCATCCTGTTCTTTTTTAAGGAGGCCAACTTTTGATTATATAAAAAGAAAAAAAAATACATACACACACATTCATGCATATTTAGTCTATGGCAATTGATCCAGGAAGACACTACGTAAATGTGAGAATACTAAAACAAAGCTGAAGATCGTTACGGTATTTTAACTGCTTTCCCTTTGGGGTTACATTTATATATAAATTTGTGTGTGTGTGTGTGTGTGTGTGTGTGTGTGTATGTATGGGAATATATGTGCATTGCACACATATGTATGTATTTATTTAACTGAAGTAAAATCACAAGGAACACACTAGTTTTTGTGGAATGAAGACTTGATTTTATGGTTCCTAGAAATTTCATTTTCGGTTCCTTCGAGCTGATGTTTCAAGGTTTACTAAAACCATTCTTCCACTCTTTAAAACTTTGGTTGTTAAAAAAAAAACACAAAAACAAAACGACTTAGGTTGTTTCCAGATGTGATGTTGGTAAGACCCTAATTGTCGTCTCATTATTTCCAATAATGTCTCATTTCTTATAAATGCTCTTACTCTCCTAGAACTGTCTCTCTCTGAATATTTTCATCTTGCTTTCTTTTTTCTTTTTTCCCCCATCTTGCTTTCTAAATGACTGTACTCGTTTGCAGTTTCACCAACCATCCAACCCCAGGACCAGCTTTACTCAGATTTTATCACCATTGAGAACTACTTCAAACATTCTTCTAAATTAGCTACACACAATGCTTGCTTGACTTTTTCATCTTGTTAGAACAGCAAACTTTTTTTAAAAGTAGCTTGCCTTTTGAATTTCCTTTTAGAACATCTCACTTTTTGGAAGGGAAGATACTACCGTGTTTCTTCCTTCCTTTCTTTCTTTCTTCCTTCCTTCTTCCTTTTTTGCCCGAGTCTTAGCTTTTTTCAATTCTAAGATTGAACTTTGATCTTTGGGGCCTTAAGCCTGACTCTGAGTTTTCAGGAAGGCCTTTCTATTCTAGATACCAGGTAAGCAAGAAAATCCTTATCTAGGAAAATGTTTTGTAGAAACCAAGTCTATCTCAGTCCTCTCACAAACAGAGAGGCGACAGAGTTCTTCCCTCTCCTTGACCTCATTCATGAAGTAGAGGAGAGAAAATGGGCATTTTATTTTTTTTAAATTTTTTTATTATTAATTTCAATGAAAATTTACAGAGGCTTTGGATTGCAAATGTTCATTTTCAATCCAGAGAGGTTTTCAAGCAGTCGGTTACAATGGAATTCCAGAGGATCACCATCTTTGTTTTTCCTTATTTTTAAAAATTAATTTTAATGAAAGTTTACAGAGACTTAGGGTTTCCATTCATTCATTGTTGCATTTTTCTCCCTGTCCACCCCCTCCCTCCCCACAGGACCACCGTCTTCTAAAACCTTTAGTCATTTAGGCTGTAAGCTCTTGGCTCTGGTTCAGAATGGACCCAGGAATGTTTTGCTTGAAAATTGCATCAAATTTCATTTTAGTCCTGACATCTGGATGAAAAGGAGTAAATGCATGATTATGCATTTCAAACATTTTTCTGAAGAGCTGGTTTTTGTACTTTGTCCATTTTGTTCGGATGTGTGCTGGTTTTTGTTGGAGTGTTGTTTTTTTTTTTTTAAGAGAAACTAAAGGATTTGGAACACTAGGATTGGACAGGGCTCAAGTCTGTTCTTCATGTGGTCACTGTGAGTTGTACTCAACTTGATGGCACCTCACAACAACAAAAACAACAACCGCACCACTGAATTCTGACCCCCACAGCCTGCTTCCTTGCTTGGTGGTGATTGGAAGAGCTGAATGGAGGTGAGCACGCTTTAGAGAGGCATGCTTTTTCTAGATTATTTTTCTCCACCTCTGACGTTGGCACAGCTTGCCTTTGCAACCCTTGCTTGACTTTCTCAAGGAACCAGGGCTTTAAATTGGTTGGAAACTGTTTTCCCCAGGGCCAGCAGAAGCAAAGGCAGCTTATGCCTTGTAGGGCAATCAAATCTCCTACCAGATTTTGATCTGAGTAGGAACTAGCATTTATCCACTCCAAGATGACAGCGTCCTCTGCAGCTACGCAAATGTCAGGTGGCTTGGCTGGCCTCCACCTTTGAGTGGGGCACTATGGCCTGCTTCCCATTTGGGTCAAGATTCAGTATGCAAGAGATTTGGTAGTCACGCATCATGGTAGTTATGGCCGGTGTTTTGTTGGCCATGACTGAACTCATGCCCAGCTTCCAAAGTTGAGATTTGAGGTTCATTCTACAGCTTGAAAGACTGTATTGCCCCCTAGTGGCGTCAGTGAAGCTACCAATCTCTTGAGTAGAAAGACAGTCTTGCGATTTTAATTTAACTTGAGGGTTTTCTTCTAAAGACTTAGATGTGGAGTTATTATTGTTAGGTGCCATCATGTCAACCATGACTCACAGTGACCCTGTGAACAATGGGTCTGAACCTTTGCCCTATGCTGACCGTACTCAGCATTTTAATGATATAATTGGTCCCTGAGTTCATCATGAATTCATATTGTCTCTCCAAATGTGGCATCATTAGGTTGAAGTATGAATGACATTTCTCAAAAACTTCAGAGACATTTTCTCATATCTCTCCCTCGGGCACTGCCCCAAGAAAAACTCTTGAGTTTCCTGTAGTTCATAAAGTTAAATATGAAAATAAACTCTAATTGTTGTTGTTGTTGTTGTTATGTGCCATCGAGTTGCCTGCGACTCACAGTGACCCTATGTACAACAGCCCTAAATGCTGCTCTATCCTGTGCCAGTCTCCCTGTCTTTACCACACCTACCCCCATTAGCCCAGTCACTGAATCAATCCATCTCATGAAGGGTCTTCCTCTCCCGAGCTGTCCCTCCACCCTCCCAAGCATGATGTCCCCCTCCAAGGACTGGTCCTTCCTTACAATATGACCAAAGTATGTCAGATGGAGCTTCAGAGTCCTTGCCTCCAAGGAGTAGCTGGTTTAACCCTCTCAAAGATGAACTTGTTTGTTCTCCTAGCAGTCCGTGGTACATTCAATACTTTTCTCCAGCACCACAGCTCAAAGGCATCACTTCTCCTTCTATACTCCCTAGCCATTGTCCAACTCTCTGACTCATAACAAGTGATTGCAAAGACCATGGCCTGTACCAGGTGCACATTAGTCTCCAGAGTGACACCATTGCTTTTCAGTACTTTGGAGAGGTCCTTAACAGCAAACTTCTCCATTGCAATTAGTCTTTTAGTTTTCTGGCTACTGGTGCCAAGAGTGTTGACTGTGGAGCCAAGCAAACTAAAGCTGTGTACAATCTCAATCTCTTCACCATCCATCCTGATGCTGCCAATTGGTCCAGTGGTGAGAATCTTTGTCTTCTTGACCTTGAGCCTCAATCTGTATTGAAGGCTGCAGTCCTTGACCTTCCGCAGTAAGTGCTTCAAGTCCTCCTCAGTTTCATCAAGCAGGGTTGTATCATCTGCATAACACAGATTGTTGATGAGTCTACCTCCAATCTCAACCCCACACTTCTCTTAGAGCCCAGCTTCCCTGATAATCTGTTATGCATATAGGTTGAAAAGGTATAGAGATAGGACACATCCCTGGTGTACGCCCTTCTCAATTTTGAACCATGCAATGTTTCCTTGCTCTGTTCTGACAACTGCCTCCTGGTTGAAGTATAAGTTTTGCATTAGCACAATCAAGTGTTCTGGGATTCCCATTTTTCTCAGAGTCAGCCACAGTTTGTTATGATCCACACAGTCAAATGCCTTTGCATAATCAAGGAAACATAGATAGACATTCCTCTGGTATTCCCTGCTTTCAGCTAAGATCCATCTAACATTAGCTACAATAAATATCCCTAGTACCACGACCCCTTCTAAACCCAGCCTGGACTTCTGGTAGTTCTCCACTGATGTGCTGTTCCAGTCGTTTTTGGATAATCTTCAGTAGAATCTTGCTTGCATGTGAAATCAATGATATTATTCTATAGCTTCCACACTCAGTTGGGTCACCTTTCTTTGGAATGGGAACAAATATAGATATCTTCCAGTCAGTTGGCCAAGTGGTTGTTCTCCAGATTTCTTGGCACTGCTAGGTAAGCACATGTAATGCAGCATCAGCGAGTTGAAATTCGTCAACTGGAAACTCTAATTAGAAAAGAAATTAAAGGAAGGGAAAAGCTGCACTTCAAATTCTATGTTTGCTTCTAGACCTGACTCTAAAGAGAATGGAGCGGCAAAAAGAGACAATAGGCCCTGTTTGAATTTGCCTTGAACTTGCCCGAGACAAAATACGAACATTTCTCTAGTCTTCAGGTTGTGTGTTTCAAGTGGTCATTTCTTCTCATACTTCGTCTTTCCCACTTTGCTTGAAGGTATACCACGAGATTGTACTGGACTTACGGAGGCTAGGACTCAAGAATCGGAACCAGCTCTCTTGATAAAGCCTGAAGACATTGTCTATACTATGCCAGGGAGCTCGGAGAAGACACTCCGCACCCTTCAGAGACCAAGCGACAAGGCGTCTAATGAACAAAAGACGACTTCTTCTGAAATCTGCGCGGTCGTGGGGGCGGCTCCTCCTGTCTGTGAGTATGTCACACTCCCGTGGAGCCTTGAAGCGATAGCTGGAAATGAAGCTTTCTCTGCCTCTGCACTGTCCCTAAGCTCTGTCTCTACTAGATAGTGGGCTGCTCACAGAACTGAGTTTTTCTTTCACTTTTGCACTGAGGAGGTCTCCAAATGCAGGAGGTGAACTCAGCTCTTGGAAATGATGACCCCATCATAAAAGGATTCTCTATTATTATTAAACTAAACGCCTCCTAGATTAGAAAACGGAGGAAAACGTTGCAGCATTCACTTCACACCAAGTACCAGGAGACTTAAATCATGGGATGCTTCCCACTAAACACATTTACGTCATGTTTTTTGAAGAGCTCTTACTAAAAAAAATTCTTTACATTTTTATTTCCCATATCAAGAGTGATGGATATTGGCCATTTAGGAAAATATTTTTGGTGTTGTTGATCAAGAACAAATCTTAACGTGACAATTTAGCCTAAAGCATAAAGATGGTCACTTTTGAGTACTGTATTAC